AAAAAAAAAAAAAAAAAAAAAAACACTTTTTAAATATTTTTTAAATAAAATAATTTTATATAATAATATATTTTGCTTTTCTTTTTTTTTGTTCTAAGAATAGTTATTTCTACAAAATACACATTAAATTTTATTAAAATAGGTTATACTTTTGTTTTATAATTTTTTATTTTTAAATATAAATATTTTTAATTGCAAATTTTTAATTATATATTTTATTAATGGAATCAATTTATTTTTTTTATTTTCATTTAAAACTTTTTAATACTCTAAAAAAAAAAAAAAAAAAAAAAAAAAAAATTAATATATATATATATAACATTTATTTAAATAATTAAAGTTAATTATGTTTAAATAACAAATTCTATAAACGTTTTTCCTTTTTCCTTTTTCCTTTCCTTTTCTTTTCTTTTCTTTTCTTAAATATTTATATAATAATATATATGTATAATTTTTGACGTGAAAAGAAATATGTTTATACAGTATAGGTTATTTAGTGAACATTCATTGTGGAGATTATTAGAAATAAATAAAAATGAAAATTATATTTCAGTTAATGAATTAAAAAATATAATATGTAAGCAAAGTAATATTAATTATAATAACAAAATTGATATATATTTTTCTATATATAAAGATGAAGATAATAATGAATATGTAAACAATAAAGATAAAGAAAAGGAATTAAAATATTTAAACAGTGATGATAAAATTTATAATGGAACAAAAATTCTTGTTCATAGAAATATAAAAAAAAAAAGTAACGTTTCTGATATTACTCATAAAGCTAAAAAAGAGATAACTTTAAATGTTGAAGAAAAACAAAAAATTAATATACCAAATGAATTCTTATGTAAATTATGTAATTTAATTTTATTAGAATCATATATAATTGTATGTAATAATAATTGTGGTTATTCTGTATGTAAAAATTGCATTTTATTTTATATATTAAATACCTTAATAAAAGAAAATGAAAGAAAAGTAAATTATATAGATTTATCATTATTAAATGATAATGTAAAATGTCCTATATGTAATGGATTTTTAAAATATTGTATTTTAAATAAAAAAATTGAATTAACTTTAGAGAAATTACAAGATGAAAGAAATGATATCGATTCATATAATCTTAATATAGATGAAAGAAATAATAAATTTTTAAAGATTATTGAAAAACTAAAAATTGAAAATTTTGATTATATAAATAAAAATAATATATTTGATAATGAGATTTTTGAAATTATTAAAAAAAAATTTATCTATTCTAATGTTAATAAAAATTATAATAGAACAACAAAAACTGAGGAAAATAAAATATTTCATCATTTTTTATATTTAATGGAAAGTAATAAATTAAATTGTATAAAAGAATATAATATGATATATATAGATTTTGATAGCTTAATATTTGATTCCATTCAAAAAATTAGTGTAAAAAATATATATGAAGAAATTCAAGAAAAAAACAGAGAAGAAAATGTAGTAAACGATAATAATAACATTTATGATATTAGTGATATAAATAAAAATCTTAATACTGATGATTGTAACAACGAATTAAATAATAAGAAAGATGATGAAAGTTGTAATAAAACATTGACAAATAATGTTATAAAAGATGTATTAATCTCAGCTAATGTAAATTCCAAATGTGTAAATGAAAATGATAATAATAAAAATTTTAATTTAAATGATGAAAATAGTAACACGAACGATGAAACTAAGAATATAAAAGATAATTCAACCAGTGAAATTGATGATGAATTATATAATAAAAATAAAACTTATATTATGCCTATATCTTTTGTTGGTGGAGAAACTTCATATTCATTAATTGGAGTTTTCTATATAAAAGAATTATTTATTATTATTAATGATAATAATAAAATAGATAATGAAATAGATGAAAATAAAAAAAAAATAATACAGAATTTTCTGAAAAAGTGGTTTCATAATGAGAATCAAAATAATGAAAATATTTTGGAAAAATTGAATTATGGGAATATATACAAGGTAGATTATGTTAATAAATATGAGAAAACATGTTTTTTTCCAGCAAAAAAACAGCCCATTTATAATATTATTAATAATAAAAGGCAAAAAAACAAAAAAAAAAACAATATTGAAATTATATTAGATTTAAAAAAATTCAAAGATGTTATTCTAAGTGTACACAATTATATTAGATATGGGAGTAGGCCAACTTATTATGATGTTAAAAAAACAAGTGCCACTAATAATACAGAAGATGAAGAAAAGAAAAATTATATGATGACAAGAGAAAAAGCAGATACCCCTTGCTCCTCAATTGATACAAATGAGAATCAGTTAAATATAAAATTAAATGAAGAAAGTAAACAAAAGAATGCTATATCTACTAATGCTATAATAAAAGAAAATGGATTTCAAGAAATTTTTGAAATTCTGTATGACACTAAAATTGCTCCGTTATCTATACAAAATAATTTTAATATTAATAATCCATATGCTGGTTATTGTGCCTTATTACCTTTTTTAACAAAACAAGAATTTGATTTTATTAGAAAATTACAAAGAATATATAAAGAAAAATACCTCAAAGAGCTTTATAAGTATGTTAAGAAAAATAATTTACATATGAACATATTTTATAATGCTGTAAATGCTATATTTTTTTCTACTATTAAACAGTAAAATAAATAGAAGAAAATAAAAAAAAAAAAAAAAAAAAAAAAAAAAAAGATACTCATATATATATTCATTAAAACACTTTTGAATACCCTTTTTAAATTACTACATGTAATACAAAAATAATTTATATGTTTAAATATGTTGATGTTTATAATTATGTATATTTATATATTTTTAATAAGAATTAAATAGTTTCCTTTTCCACATTTGTTTTACATTATTCTTTTTTTTTTTTTTTTTTTTTTNNTGTTAATAATGATTTATTTAAAAATTGAATTTTTTTTTCTTTTTTTTTTTTTTTTCATAAATTGAAAAAAAGAGATACAATAATCTCTCCTGCATATTAGAACATGTTATATTTAATTAAATGAAAATGTAAAAAGATGTACCTTCATGGATATAAATATATTATATATAACATATAAATAAAAAAAAAAATTTTTTTTTTAGATATTGAAAATACATAGTTATAAGTAAAATTATTTTGTTTAGTATTTAAAATTATGTTTCTAAAAAAAAAAAAAAAAAAAAAAACTTTTAAACAGTTGTGGAAATTATATTAAAAATTTTACAGAATCTAAAATATCAAAATTTTATTTTTTCTCAAAAAAAATGGTCAAAAAAAAAAAATGTACATAGGATTTTTATTCATGGAATGACCGAAATTATTTTTTTTAATTTGATGTTTAATTTTTAGATAACTATTTTTTTTTATTNTTTAATATATATTTTAGTTTTTATTTTTTAATCTCCTTTTTAAAAAATATTTTTATATTAAACCGTTTCTATGCTCTAATTTTTGAAATACAAGAATTTTTTTAAAAAATATTTATTTTAGATTCATTCATTTATATATTTTTTTTGTTTTAAAAAACTTATTTTCATTAACTCTTTTTATATTCATTTTCCTTTACTCGTAATTCTGTATATCTATATACTTATTATTTATTTTTTATTCAAATTTTTTTTTTTTTTTTTTTTTTTTTTTTTTTTTTTTTTTTTTTTTTTTTTTTCATTTATGTTAATAAATTAATAATATTTATTTTTCATTATATAAATTTTCTATTTTCTATTTTCTATTTTCTATTTTCTTATTTTCTTATTTTCTTATTTTCTTTTTAAGATCACAATATTTTTATTTTGTATTATCTTTTAATTTCCCTATTAAATTATTCTATGTAATCATTTTTATTAAATTAAAACGTATGAAAACAAAATGTTAAAAGGTGAAGAAACACAGATAAAATTAATATTTTTCTTTTTAGGTATACTTTTAAGTTTACCTTCCAACATAATAATAAATGTGTCTTTTTTGATTAATAATATATACAATGAAGAAATTTCCATAACAATATTGGGTTTTATTTCTGGATTTATGATAATCTCATCACTGATTCAACTGACTTTTGAATTTACTTCATTTAAATCTATTATAATTTGTAATTTTTTGAATGCTGCTAATTTGTTTATTTTTTTAATATTAATATGTTTATGTAATGCATCAAAACATTATATATATATAATTTCTGCTTTTATTGGATTTTTTATTGGGTTTCTTTATTCTGCAAACACAAAATATTCTTTATTATTTGGTATGCGAATTAATGGATATTTAGTTAGTGGAATAAGTTTTTGTGCATTATTTTTTTTTATAATTAATTTGTTGATGTCATACTTAACTATTGAAGATGGAAATGTAAAATCATATTATAATGCAATAACATTATCAATTGGTACAGTTGTAGTATTAAAAGTTTTAATCATTATATATATTATATTTATGCATTTAAGATCCCCATATTTTTTGGAGCAAAAAGAAAGAATTGAATCGAGAAAAACTAAAGAAATAAATATTGATAGTGAATTAAATACATTTAACGAAGTAGAGAATGGAGAAAATAACTTATCAAAAGGTGTGTCATCATATGACAAAAATTCTAATGATAATGATGATAAAAAAATAGAGGTTACTGTTAAAGATAATATTTCCAAAATAAGTAAAATTAATAAAAAATTGAAATTTCCCAAAAAAATATTTAATTGTAATAATATAATTGATGGTGCCCGCCTAATTAAATATTATTATTTATGTTTAATACCAATATCTTTTAACATTTTTATAACCTTCGTAATATATCCCCATATAAGTAAAAAAAAAAAAAAAAAAAAAAAAAAAAAAAATTATATTAAAAGCTATGTGCATATTTTTTTTGTGTATATACATTCATATATTTGTTTTATATTTATTTTTTTTATTTTTTTATTTTTTTTTTTTTTGTAGTACCAAATAAATTAAAAAAAGGGGTATACTATAAATATTTATTTATGTTTCTATTTCAGTGTAGTGATCTTATATTTAGTTTTTTGGTAACAGTTTATTTAAATTTATTTTCCTTTTTTAAACAGCAGTATGTAACAATTTTATGTATATGCAGAATATTACTGTTGGTTTTGGCTTATAAAATAAAAAATTTACAAGAAGATTCTTTTTTATATACAAATGAATTTATAGCCTTTGTAATATTTCTAGTAGGTTCAACAAATGGATCTTTAATAAATTTAAGTTATGGAAGAATTTGTGATTGTTTTAAACATTCCGATCAAAAAGAAAAGAATATTGCTGTTTCATCTTCTTTTTGTGCTCTTACTTTTCTAATAAGTTTTGCATTATCACCTTGGTTTTGTGGTTTAATAATAGATTCATAAAAAATAAATCATAACATTAACTACTTTAAAAATATTTTATTCATTATTTTATACATATGAAATTATACATATATTTTTTTTTTTAATATGTCTTATATATAATATATATATTCATAATATTTTTTATTAATTATGATTTCTATATTTGTTTTCAAAAATACTAATATAAATTAAAAATATTGAGAATTTTAAGTTTATTTTAAAAGACAAATGCACGAATTAATAAAAAAAATAAAATAAAATAAAATAAAACAATAGAAACATATTTCATTGATAATTGAAAGTTAAGAATTATAAAAAACACTAAAAAATAACTAAAAAAAAGTTCTTTCATTTAAAATAATTAAAGAAAATATTGATATGGTAAAAAAGATAAAAAAAAAAAAAAAAAGTGTCAAAACAAAAACCATTCATAAAAAATTTTTTTTTTTTCATATATTTTTTATTTAATTTAATTTATATACATCTTTCACGAACAAAAATTAAAAATTTATTTTATAAGTATAGTATCACCATCACTTAAAACATTACGACAAAAAGAGGAACAATCTAAAAAGTACAATTCGTTATCATTAAATGCTAACTTTCCATCTCTGTATTTTAAAATTTTATACAAAAAAAAATTATTTTCATTTTTTGAAAATATAACAGCTTTAAATATTTCACTTAATAATTCAATATTGTTTCCAATGGTTATATCTCCATTTAACCATATATTAACACTTCTATTTTTAAACATACACGTTTTTTTTTCTATTTGAAAAGAATTTTTTATAATAATAAGTGAGTTATCAATAATTAATTTTACAAATATTCGAGAAGATTCACTTATTGATGTTAATCCTATAGATGTTAACTTTATTTTTATCCTAAAAATTTTTTCCTCTAATTTTTTTTTTTTTTCATTTGATGTATCATTAACAATCTCTGATTTTATATTGTCCCTAACGGTACTAGAAGTATTAGAGGATATTCTTTTTTGAAATTTTAATTTTATTTCTTCTTTTTTTAGATTCATCTTTTTTTTCATTTCTTCACAATTATGATTTACTGCATTTACATGATTGAAACAAAAAATTTTCTGACATATTATGCATTTTCTATTGTTGTTTGAATTAATACAATATTTATTATATATACATTCATTAAAAGAACAATATTTTGGAGAAATTACATTATTTTTACATTCATTTATTTCATGTTTTTCATATATTTCTTTTACATTATTTATGAAACTATTTTCATATCTATTTTCATTTTCATCTATCTTTATAAGTGCTTTACATTTTTCACACACAACATATAAATCCTTATCATTTTTAATAGCTATTTTTTTATCATCACATATTCTTATTTTATTTTTAATCTCCAAATAGTCTGTAAAATAAATAACATTATTATTATATATGTAAATAAACAGATAAAAAAAAAAGTAATATTTCTTAAATATTTTTTATATAAAATTTAATAAAATTATTTCATAATTGATAAAATTTTTTGCTAATGAAAAGTATTTACATATTCCATTATTTTCTTATTTTCTTTTTTTTTTTTTTTTAACTTATTACTAAATACCTATACATTCATGATCTTCAGCATTTTGATGATTAATACAAAAAAACTTTTTACAATATCTACATAAGAATGGTAGAAAGTCATTTATCTTACAGTAATCATATGAACATTGCTTATCAATTTCATGCTTCATTTTGTATATATATATATGTATATATATATATATTTATATAAATATTTAAAAGTACAAAGTTAAAAAAAAAGTTACATTTATCTCATTTTAATTTACAGAATTTAAAAAATTTTTTACACTTAAATTTACTTTAATAAATCATTAATAAATGTAAAATAAACACAACTTCATTCTGTATTTATATATATTTAGATTTTTTTTTTTTTTTTTTTGAAAATAAAAAATATATCTGTTTTTATTTTTACTCATTCATATTATAGCACATTAATAGTGTATATCAAAAAAAAAAAAAAAAAAAAAAAAAAAAAATANAAAAAAAAAAAAAAAAAAAAAAAAAAAACAAAATATACATATATATATATACTTATTTGAAAAAAACAAATGTTTTCTTTACACTTCTTAAATAAATAAATAAAACTAGTAAAACTATATATACATAAAATATACTTAATAAAAAAATAACTAGTTTATTTTTTTTACTTCAGAATAAAAAAAAAAAAAAGTTTTAAGAAGAGCAAGAACAATATAAAAAAAAAATTCATTAAAATATATTCATACACATTAATATTAAAAATCGAAATATACATATACAAATGTAATAAAACACATTTTATTTATAATATTTATACACACATAAAAAATGTTATACAGATGAATTATATATATCTGTATAGATAAAAATATTTTTCATAGCTTAATAATTAATATTGTATATAAATTAATATTATTATTCTCTTAAAAATTATTGAAAATTAATATATATTCTTTTATAAAAAAAAAATAAAAATAAATATATTTAAATATATATGATTCATCAGACATCATGTGATAAAAAAAAAAAAATATAAATATATTTTAAAAAAAAAAAAAAAGTTTTATATAAAAAGAAATGCTACTTTCCACTTTGTTTAGTTTTATTTTGAGCTAAGAATAAATATGGCTAGTGAGAATGTTAGAAGAAAAAACATAGGTTCTATATTATATAATTACTATAATTTAGACGATGAAAATAATGTTAGCAAAAATGAGGACACAAATAATTTGAATAAAAAAGATTGTATAAATAAAAAAATAATAATTGAAGAAGATGCGGGTAGTAAATTAAAGATTAATAATCATAATACAAAATATGAGTTGAATACAAATGTAGTAAAAGAAAAAAACACTGAAAAATTTATAAAAAATGAAAAAATGATTTCAAAAGAAGAAATAAAAGATGTAGACGAGCTTGATAAAAAAAGTTGTGAATTCAATGTAAATAATTATTTTAAAAAATTACTGGAAAATTCTAGTTTAGAAGAGTTAATAAATAAATCAAAAAAAATAGAAAAAGAAATTAAACAAAATGATAGTTTTATGCAATCATTAGTATATGAAAATTACAATAAATTTATTGAAGCAGCAGATACAATTATATATTTAAAAAAAAATTTTAAGAATGTAAAAGAAAAAATCAAAGACATAAACGATCATATAACTTATATAGACAACAATTCTAATTCAGTAAATAATAAAGTTTCCAAAAATTTTGAAAAAATTGAAAATTTGATTGAAATAAAAAAATTATTAAACGATGTCAATATAATTATGAAAATACCACAAAATATGTTTTCTTATATTATTGAAAAGAAATATATAAAATCATTACAAATTTTTATTGAAGCTATACCATTTTTTGATAAAAATAAAAATATTCTAGCATTTCAAAATTTATATTTAGATAGTAATAATTTAGCTAATATTGCTTGCTACTTTTTTTTAAAAAAATTAAATAAAGAAAAGAATATAAAGAAGTTACCTAAACTACTTCTGAAAAATGAAAATGAAAAAAATATAGATTATAAAAATGAAGAAAAAAATAAAAATATTTCTTTTTTTCAAAATGATTTAGAAAAATCATTTGAATTGTTACATTCCTATGTTTTACCAAGTGATGAAATAACTTCATGTTTATACTTAATACTAGCTTATGGGAAAAATAAAAAAAAAGTAAGAAATTTGTACATTCAAAATCGAATTAATGCATTAAAATATTTATTTTATAATATTTTTAATTTAAATAATTACATTAATATTGATGCAAATGTTAAATTAAAATGTTCAACTTTTAATTCTAAAGAAAAACAAAGTGAGAAAGGAAATGATGAAAATGATTTATATAACAAAATATTTGAAAATATTTTTGAATTATCTTATAAGCATTTATTAAAATTTTTTTTCAGTATTATAGACAATTTTGAAAAAATGTTTATAGATAACCCTCATAACGAGTATGAACATAATTTTCTTTTAAGTAAAGAAGATTATGAAAATAATAATGATAGAAAAGTGAAATTTTATAAAAATATTCATTATTTAAAGAATTTAATAAATAACTTGAATACAATAATAGAAGAGAAAAATAAATCCGTCAAAAAAGATGTAATGTCATATATTAATAATAGTAGTGTTACTAAAAATGAAAAAAACGTTAAAGAAGATCTCTTTGATATAAACTGTAATAATGTATTAAAAAATGTATTGAATAATGATGACAATAATAAAATAATAGAAATTTTAACAAAAAGTTTTTTTAAAGTTTTATTAAAATTAACTATTGACCATATATATATAATTAATCCTCCAGTAAAATTGATTGTGTGTTCTTTAAAAAAATTAATAGAAAACGTTAAAAATTATAATAATTGTAAAAATATTTTATCAAAACTTATGAATAAATTTATAAATAAAATATATTTTGTAGTATTGAAATTACATTTTTACAATATATGTTTTAATAGTAACATAGCTCTATCTAATTTTTTGAACGTCTGTAATCAAAAAGAAATATTATTTATATTAGAAAATAAAAATGAATTGGGGCATAATATCATATTAAATCTGTGTTTAACTTTTATGGATTTCGGAGTATTTTATGAAGAAATAAATGTAAGTAGGAATTTTTATTTTAAACATTTAATTAATTTTGTAATTATTTATTTTATATTTTTAACTAATTTTTTAAATCATTTTATGAACTATTTTATTTGTATAAATGAACACAACATATACAATGAATTATCTAATGAAAATAATAATGAAGAGAAAATATATGGAAAATTAGAATGTAAAAAAGAAGAAGAAACAATAGAGAAAGAAAATGATCATATTAAAAATGAAAGAAAATTTGCTTTGGATGATTTTAAAACAAAAATTGAAAATATGGAAAATATTAAAGAATCAACAAAAATTTTGAATTTACAAAAAAAGTGTAATATTTATGATAGAGAAGTATCAAGAGAATCTAATAATAATAGCATAAAATCATTTAAAAATAGAAGCATTAAGGATGAATATTCAGATAATTCATATATAAATAAAGAAAGTGTATTTAAATATGAAAATATTTATTTATTTTCATATAACAAAGAAGATGTAAAAAAAAAAAGTAAAGAAAAGACACTAAAAGATTTTAAAATTTTATCAATTTATTTATACGAAAATATTTATAATAATAATTTAGAATTGCAAGATATTTTAAAAAATACAAAAAAATATATGAAAATGGACTACGAATATTTTATTGGGAAAATAATTGAAGAACAAAAATTTGAAATAAGAAGAATTAAAGAAATATATTTTTTATTATCTCTTGTTTCCATATTTTATAATTTCAAGAAGGAAGGAATTTATAAAATCTTTACTATATTACATGATATTTATAAAAATTCTCGATCTTTATTAAATGAAAACAAAAAAATATATTTATATGATAACCTGGAAATATTACTATACAAAGATATATACCCATTTTTAAAAAAGGAAAAAAGCGAAATAAAAAATGTAAACATTATTGAATGTGATAATTTAAATAAGAATAATTTAATTAACGAAGATGTTGATTCTAATTATATAGTTAATAAGAACAATTTACGAAATTATGATAATAAAATAGAACATGAAAATGATTCACATAAAGAAAATTATGAGAAAGAAGAAAATAATTTGTTTTTACACGGCAGAAGAGAAGGAATAAACAAAAAATTATATAGTTATAATATAAATGTAGAAAACGATAAAGAAAAAAGTAAAAAAAAAATAACAGAAATTAAAAATAGTCACGAAAATAATTCTTTTTTATTAAAAAGACACAATAATGATAATAATAGAGATTTTTCAAAAAATAACAATATGCATTATATAGATAATAAAAATGATGTAAGTAACTTTTATATAGATAAAGATAATGAAAATAATTTAGAAGATAAAAATAATATAGATAACATAGAAAATAAAGAGAACATAGATAGTTTAGAAAATAAAAATAACATAAGTAAAATAAAAAATTTTAATGAATTAATTTCAAATAGCATTGAAAAAGAAATGAATAATTTGAAATCAGAAGAAAATTATAGCGATGATGATATTTATAGTGATAGTAATAATAAGGACAAATATGTAGTTGGAATTTGTAAATTTATGAAATATAAATTGCACGAAAAATGTAGTGAATTAATAAATTTATTTATTTCATTTTATGTCAATAGAATATCACATATCATTAAGTTGTATATTGAAAATGAGAAGTGGATAGAAGATAAAGAAGCAGAACTGGTAAGCAATAATTTTATATACATTATAAAAGAAATTGATAAAATTCATATTTGTTTAACTGATTTTTTTGATAACAAAGTGAAAAATGTAAAAAAGATAGATAATTTTAGTGAAATATTTATTAAAATAGAAAAAGAATTAGAACAAATATGTAAAAAATATTTAAAAGAAAAAAATTTTAATTCCTCGAATGATTTGGAAAATATTATGAAAATATCAAATAACGATAATAATAATAATAATAATAATAATAATAATAATAGTAGTATACATCCATCAAATCAGCAAAGAAATTTAGAAATGTATATGTATAAATTGTATATGTTAAAAATGAAAAATTATAAAAAAAATGTGAAACTTGAAAATAGCAGAATTCTCTTCATAATAATAAAAATAATGTTTAAGGATTACACTGAATACATCAGAAATTCCATTTTTAATGAAAAAGGTTTTAATAAATTAAAAATTGACTTTTTTTTTTACTTTCATTGCTTAAAACATTATGTTCCTTTAGATGATGAGAACATATTATTTGTTATTCTAAATGAAGTTTTAATAAATGCAAAAGAAAGAATGATTCAGGTTAATAAAAAAGTGGAAAGTAAAAGTAACATTTTGTATCACTCATATTTATCAGATAACATTGAATTTGACATAAATAAGAATAAAAATTTTATATTGAAAAGCTTAAAAGAAAATTAAACTATAAATTTTTTTGTTTCTACAAATATACATATATATATATATATATATATATATATATATATATATATATATATATATATATATATTTGTTTTTCCTTTTTTGTTTTTTTTTTTTTTTTTTTTCTTTATTTTTAATTATATTCTTGTAGATATTTAAAATGAAATTTTGTTTTCCATTAAAAATTAAAAAATATAAAAAAAAAAACTACCAATTTTATATTCATTTTGATTTAAAAAATTATCATAATTATAAATTACACAATAATTTACGTAACTAAAACGGTATTTCATCTATTACTTCAGTATTGTTAATAATGTTATCTTTTTTATTATTATAATTTTTTTTTTTATTATATTTATGAAAAGTATATGTTAAAAAAAAAATTAATTTCTGTATATAATTATTTTTTCTTTAATTCTTAAAAGAATTACATAATTGATGTGTCTTTAAAAATATATCATTCAAGAGTTTTTAAAACTTTATTTTTTTTTTTTTATAAAATGTTTTAAAAATAATCTCTTTTTTGTATAGAAGAATTTAAAAATTATAATACAAGAAAATATGTTTTTCAGTTTAGTACTAAAAAATTTTTTTTTTTTTTTTTTTCTTGTTTTCGATAAACTTTTATAATTTTCATCTATAAAGTTTTAAATATTAAATACTAAAAAGTAATTTATTTAAAAAATTAATTGGATAAAATTATTTTGAATGAAATTTAATAAATAAAAATAAAAATTTAAATAATATTTTTTAACAGTATAAAAGGTATTCAATTGTTACTACATTGTTTTAATCTTTAAATCTAATTAATATTTTCTTTTTTTTTTTTTTTAATAAAGACAATAAAATTAAAAAAAGTTCAATAAAAATGGAGAACAAAGATGAAACACATGTAAAAGAAAATAAAAAAATTAATAAAAAATTAATTCAATTTATATTAAAGAAATCTGAAGAATTAGAAAAAGATCATTTGTTAAGTATTTTCAAATATAAGACATAAATGAAATTTATATTATAAATTATAACACACACACATATACATACATATATATATATATATATATATATATATATATATATATATAAATATATAGAAAAAAAAAAATTATTATTATAAAGATTAATATATATAAGTTGATTAATGTATATAACACTTTAATTACACTTTTTTTTTTTTTTTTTTTTTTTTTTTTTTATATTTTATAGTTTCCTTTTTTTGTATTTTGTATATTGTAGAACAATTAAAAGATTATGTAAAAAATAATTATACTGATATAGGTATTAAATAAAAAGTAAAAACATTAACTATTAAAAAGTATAAATATAATGAAAAAAAAGTTTAAAAAAAATACTTAAAATATTTATTTTATTACGATATATTGATTCATTTTTATTCTTTTTCTTTTTATTTTTTTTAAGAAGCAAAAAACATATTAATTAATTGTTTAAATAAGGGAGAAAAAGTTAGACCATCTTTTGATTCGTTAGATTATAATGAACTTTCTGAATTTTGCAAAAGTAAAAATAAAATATATAATTTATAAAAGGAAAAAATACTATATTAATACTTGAAACATATTTTATAAAGTAAAACATAATTGTGTCTATTATATTTTTTACATTATTAGGATTATTTTTAGCAGCTGATAAAAATGATAGATATGATGAAATAACAAAAAAAACACTACAGATGTTTTATACCTGTCAGATATTTTATGAAATATTAAATCATTTTAGAAAATTAAATAATGAGGAAAGAAAAAAATATATTTATGCAAAATATAAAACAATATATATAAAAAAGTGCTTTGATAATAATATAAAACCAGAACCTGGAACACCAAAAAATGAAAAAGAAGATATATCAGGTTATTTATATTCCTATTTTTTTTTTTTTTTTTTTTTTTAAAATTCTATTCATATGTATATTTTTAATAAATAGAATTAGAGGAAGACATTTCAAAAGATGAAATAACTCATATAGAAACAATAAATACTGAAATTCCTTGTGAATATATACCATTAAATAAGAGTGATTATGATACAAACTTACAAGAAAAAAAATTGCATAATTATGGTTATAGATAAATAATGATATATAATTTAAAAAAATAAAATAGAATAAAACATTTATACTAATATAAATATATGTGTATATTTTTTTATACATTAATAGATGAAAATAAAAAAATAGTAGCCACAGTTGATTTTAGTTCAAGTTTAAAACATGCTCAATATGCTGTTAATGGTATAATATAAACTAAAATAAAAATTTATATATTTTATAATTTATAATATTTCATATATATTAATTTTCATTTTTTTTTTTTTTTTTTTTTTTATGCTTTAAAACGATACATTAAAAAAATGTTATAGAATATATAAATACTTAATATATTCATATAAAAATAAAAAGAAAAGTATTTAAAAAAAATTTAAATGAAATTTTTTCTTTAATATTGAAAAATCATTTGTTTTTTTTTTTTTTTTTTACTTCATTTTAGCATTAATGTTCGAAGATTTAGATACTGCAAAACATCAACTAAAACTTTCTCTTTCTTATTTAGAAAAATGAAATTAAAAATGTGTATATTTTTTTATTTGTATGAATAACTCTCATTAATGTTTTAAAATATTTATAGATTATTTATATAATTAAGAAGAATTTTTAAAATTATACAATAATAATATTCAAAAATAGATGTGAATATAATATTTTTAAGAAATAAACATATATATATATATATATATGATTATAATCTTTTTAAACTTGGTAAAATTCTTTTTTTTTTTTAATCTTTATTTTATGATAAAAATATATAGGATAATTTAACTTTTCTTTATATTAACATATATCTCTACTTTTTCTTAACTGAAAAATTAATCTTATAATTATTTTATTTTTCTTTTTTTTAAAAATAAAAATTTATATATTATAAATTTTTTCTTTATGTTTTTATTAGAAAAAACAAAAGTTATAATGTTGACATTTTAGAAATATAGACAGTATATAATATAAAAAGGTGACAAAGTTCTAATAATACTAATATTTTATATTTAAAATTATAAAAATTGTTATTTTCTTTTTATATAAATATTTAGATTATATTATAAAAAAAAAAATATACGTATTGAACGATATAATTAATAATACTATTATTTTACTTAGTTTTTTATATTGTTTTGTACATCTGAATATGACGAATAAATTAAAAGAATAAAAATATATATGTATATAAATTAAAAAAAATTGGTATTAAAAAAAAATGAGATAATTATCCTAGAAGCAATATTTTTCATGGTATTCATAATATAGAAAAAAAAAAAAAAAATATTAACAGAAATCATAGAAAAATTATTCATGGGCTCAAATGTTTAATTATATATCATTTTTTTTTTTTTTTTTTTTTTTTTTTTTTTTTTTT